GTAAGGTGCCCATATTGTTCCGATCCTCACTATTTATTTCATTGCGCAAAATTCATTAACCTAATGGTAACAGATAGGTTAAGGATCGTGAGGTCCAAAAAACTATGTTCTAATTGTTTTCAGAACAGTCATAAAGTTACGGAATGTAAATCATCGTATGTCTGTAAAATTTGTAAAGGACATCACAATACGTTGTTACATGTAGACAATCCCGAGCCAAACGAAATACCAAATACGAGCAGTGAAAATAATCAAGTCGAATCAGATCAATCCGTTGTTCTTAAGGTAAATTCTCGACAAGTTTATTTTAGTAAGGTTGTACTTCCAACACCCCAGGTACAAATTTATGATAAATCGGGAAATAAACATCAAGTGAGGGCACTGTTAGATAGCGGCTCCGAATTAAATTTTATTTCAGAGCGAAAATTATTAAATCTTAAATCACAACCGAACGTTTTGTCAATCGCTGGTGTCAACCGTTGTAATACTAGTGCCTCACAATTAGCAAGTATCAAAATTAATTCTAATTACCGACATTATGAATTAAACCTTTCATGTGTTATTTTGCCACAAATCTCGGAATTTTTACCATCCAGGTCATTTTCAATCGCTAATTTAGAATTTCCGCACCACAACAAATCACCAGATCCCGCATTTCATGTCAAAGGGACGATAGATTTATTGTTAGGTGCTCAACCCTTCTTCGAAATTTTACAGCCTAATCGGAGATGTTTGAATAAGGATTTTATTCTACAGGAAACTAAATTCGGTTGGGTAGTGGTTAATGCTCATGGAGATAATCCGGGGGTTGTAAAACAGGGTTCTTCTTATTATGTCCAACCCGTCCTAGAACAGATGGTTGGAAAGTTTTGGCAATTAGATGAATTTAAAACTTCCGTAAAACTTCAATCGGCCGACGAAATCCTATGCGAAAAGAAATTTATGAAGGGTCATAAACGCTTAGAAATGGGAAGGTATTGGGTACCACTTCCGTTCAAGGCGGAAAACCCAAACTTAGGTACATCTCAGGAAGGGGCCATAAAACCTTTTAAATCTTTAGAATGCAAATTCCGAAAGGACGAGAATTTTAAAGTATCCTTTTCGGCAGTAATTACAAACTATTTACAACCAGGTCATGCGGAACAAGTTCCTGAAGACGAAATTGATAATCCACATAGTTATTATTTACCACACCACGGTGTTCTTAAAGAAAGTACCACGACACAATTACGTATTGTGTTTGATGCATCATTTAGATCATCTAAGCATAAAAGCTTAAATGACGAGTTATTAGTTGGTCCAAAAATCCACTCGTTTTTATATCCAATGTTATTACGTGAAAATGTCACACATTTTAATGATCTTAAGGTACTAACAAATATTATTTTCAAAATTGAAGAACGACGTCAGGCCGTCTGTTCGAAGGCAGTAGTACACAATAAAGGTCAATCGCCATCAGATTTATTATTAAGGTACTCATCATTTTCAAAATTAATAAACGTAGTAGCTTTTTGTTTACGATTTTACAACAGAGTCAGATATAGACAAGGTGTAAATGGCGCACTAACTGTAAAGGAAATTGAAAATAGTCGCAACGTTATTATTAAAATAGTCCAACAGGAATCATTTCCTGAGGAATTCAAGTGTCTCATAAAAGGTAATGCCTTACCAAAATCTAGTCCTTTAATCAAATTAAACCCCTTTCTAGACGATAATTTACTAATTCGAGAAGGGAGGGGTCGTGGAAAAAAGTCTATAAAGGCTTATATTTGTTTGTTTATTTGTTTTGCCACCAAGGCAATTCACCTAGAAATAGTTACCGACTGTACTTCGTCAGCATCAAATTTTAAGGGAGCCAATCGCGGATTACGAGTCATACATTTCGGTGTTATTAAATCTGATGCATTTTATCCCACCTCGGTCACCACACGTTGGTGGAATTTGGGAAGCAAGTATTAAGACCATTAAATATCATGTAAAACGAGTTATAGGGCAGTCATTGTTCACATATGAAGGAGTGTATACCTATTTGACATTGATCGAGGCGTGTCTTAACTCTCAACCTATAACTCCCATTATCCTCAAATCCCGACGATCTATCCGCACTTACCCCCTGGCCACTTTCTGATCGGTACTGCACTTACGTCACCTGCCGAACCTGATGTAAGCGACATCAACATTCATCGACTGGGTCAATGGGAAAAGATCCAGCAGTTACGACAACATTTCTGGAAAAGGTGGTCCAGGGAGTATTTGGTCGAGCTTCAACAACGATCGACGTGGGCAACTTCCGTCCGATCGGCCACTGTGGGCGACATCGTCATCGTGCACGAGGATAACGTACCCCCGTTGTGTTGGTGTCTCGGTCGAGTTGAAATCATACATCCCGGTCGGGATGGTAAAATAAGGACTGTGTCAGTGCGAACCAGAAACGGGATAGTGCAAAGATCAGTGCGGAAATTAAGCCCGTTACCAATGTAATGCGCAATTGGGCTATACATGTGTATATATATTTCATTTTATTATTGTACTCTTGTTAATTTCAATTTAATTCCTGTTGTATGATCTTAGTTGACATGTATTCATTTAATTAGGCATTTTTTGTTTCTTTATTATTATGTATTATTTATGTCAATAAGTAGGTCATCCTTGAAGTTAGTACTTCAACGGGGGGACTATGTTCAGTTTACCTGAACAGGGGTTTGGGCGTAGCCAATTTGTCCACCCTACTCCCACCCGTTTTAGGGTAGTTTACCTAATTTTTATTATTTCATGCTCTCGGGGAGTCGTCGAGAAGTATCGAGAGGGTAAAGACGTGCCGACCCGAGAGACCGGCAATTTTTATTTGTGCGTTATTAAATAAACCGTGTAACTACGAGTAAAAGGTGATTTTATTTCGCGCAAAACAAACGCAATATTTGATTACAAATTATAACAGATGTACTGCACGTAAATCGAATTAGAAAAGTGATAATATGTTTCCATATTACGACACTACAAGTATATATAACAATATTATTCGATAAAACTCATTTAACCACTCCCTGAAAATTTAAATATATTGTATAAAAATGTCCAATTACTATCAATATTAACATAATTACTCAACGAACCTGCAAATTCAAGCGTTTAAAGTTTCGTTCAGCCTTCGTTTATGATTGAATAGCCCTTTCTCTACAACCATTATCTAAATAGCATCTAAAAATCAGCCTTACAAAAATCGCATTCATTATCACAACAATACAATCTGCGTTAGGTAATTTTTCTAAGTAATTCTGAAACAATACGAAACAGGAGTGAGTTACAATAGATGCAACAAACGCTTTTATAAAATGGTTTACTTAAATTGGTGAACAAGAAACAAAGGTGTGGAGCAATCAACTAGCTACTAAAGAGGTAATTTATATATTTAACACAAACTTTTGCCTAATCGTCTCATCATGTAATCACTGAAAACAATGATCCAATACGTCTTTGTTGCTATAATAATGGGGCCTGCACTACAGACAACCGTCCCACTTAATACATTATTGGTAAAGCGCGATTTCTCAATAGGTAGCTACCTGATGACACATCTGTAACATCACACCGAAAATTTCCCCATTGCGTACATGTGTTTCTAAATACACCTATCAAAAATAGTCGAATCACAATCATACTTTCTTCTCTGCCGTTTCAATACTCAGTGAAGGCATTATTATCACGTAACTAAAATCAGCTTCAGGAAACGCAAGACTATATTTTACTTATTAACAGAGTCCATTCAAGTTAAAAAAGAAACGTAGAACAGATAATTTAAGGAAAAAAAAAAGAAGGAAACAAGAGAGTTCGAAAACTTTTTTCTCACTGAAAACTGCCTCACCGTGTACTTGATAGTGACCTCTAACCAAAGTTAAAGCCATTTATGTAGTTAACAAGAAATTAGGAAAAACCATGATGCACCGAATCTGTATATGTGTCTGTCAAGAACTTTTAAAAAGTTTGTTACAGTGTTGTACCTAAAACACTTTGTTAATTACAGTGGGATCAATTTAACTTATCCCACACATTCGAGTTAATTAATGAATCATATGCCACATTCATTTAACTTATCAGAGTTATCATCAGAATTAAATTACATCGCGGATTTTTAACACAAATTAAAATTTTGTCATTTAGTTAAATTGGTTTCAAATAAATTTCGAAGCAGTAGATAAAATTATGTACGTTACACCCGAGTCAATGTTTTATGATCGTACTCGTGTGATTACACCCAATTCGGCTAGCGTGTCACTGTGAGTGGGTAAATTTCACACTACGCTAGGCAGTGATGCTGTTTCCCCACTATATTATCATCTTATCTTTACAAACTTTGCAAAGATTCAGTATTTTATTGTAAGGGTTATTTTCTGAAAATTTGTTTTAACTGTTATTCTATTATTATTATATTTGTATTGGTAACGTTTTCTTATTAAAAGAGGAAACAGTTTTCGAAAAATATTTTAAATAACAAGTACACAAGTTTTCCAAGATCCAAAAAATTAAAACCAAACATTGCCATTTTTCTCAAGCGGTTCTAAAATAATAATATAAAAAGATTCTGAAACTGAAAACTTTGAAATCTTGTGAAACATAATTTAAGACGCTTTTTTAAGTAAACAGAGAACACAGTTAAAGATATGAATAGTATAACCATGATCATACTTTCTTCGCCGTTGCTTCAACTACCAATTAAGACATAACGTAACCAAAATCAACAATCGCCTGAAGAAAAATGAAAGCGCACCCTAATCCACCCTCTTTCGCTGGTGACATAATGCTTACATAAAAGCCACAAACCAATACACATCGATTGGATAAGAAACCTCGGTAACCAATAAAAACGGTTTCACTTTCATTGGGTGGCGCTCTCTTGCATTGCAACAACATTCAAGACCTCGATGACCCGGTCAAGTGAAAGCAAAAATAACAGTTTGAACTTTACCAAGAACTTTTGTGCCAGTGACATTGAAAATCGTCAAGACAACACCAGCGAGAACCGGACTGGACACTACACCCTCTTCGAGGATGCGAGGTGGGGCTGGTGCGGCCTTCGTCTGCGGACGCGAAAAGCTGGGGACCGCGACAACGTGACTACCGGCAATCAGTTCTTCTTGGGCACTGGTGCTGGTGCTAGTTGGGACAGCATGGGTTAGCGCGGTGCGTTTTTGCGGTGGTGTGTGGATGTGTCCGAGTAAAATGGCAGGAAGATTTTGTTTTCTTGTAAGTTGATCAGCACGAAGGGGGCTTAAATATCTAGTAGTCTTTACAAATTAAAGTTTAAATAATTTTTTAATTTGTGATTTTAAAATTACGAAAGGGAAATTTTATGAATACCGATCTGTTTTATTGCGATAACAATTTTGAGATAGGTATCTGTGTCCCATAGTTAGAAAACCGCTTTTAAAAGGAATGAACACAATTTTGCAAGGACTAGGGAAAAACAGAGTTACGAGAAATCCTTAACTCGGGATTTTCTGTTCTGAAATCATGTCAATGCTATTTTTCAAATTTAAGTAGTTATTTAATGGAAAGATCTGTAGAGCCAAATCTGTAATTCTGGTGTCCGAATTTGACTTACATATTTAAATATTGAAAAGACTTTTACTAATTTCGCTGCATTTATCATCTTTGTAAATAAATACTGTATTGTGTAGCTTGTTAGAAATGTTACGGAAAACATCTATGCCGGAAAAATATACTTTTTGAAATTGTTTTGTAGTATTAGATATCTTAAAAATAAGAAGTCTAAAATTACATTCCTTAGCACTCCTCTTGCTAGCATATAAAAATTACAGTGTTTTATTAATCCGACAGAAGTGATGTCGAAAATGTGTTCATTTTAATTGTTCTTCTTTATAATTCGAAACAGGTATGTTAGTTATTAAGGTACTTAACCTTGAAATAACTAATAATGAATGCTTTTTATGTCCTGAATGATGGCTAAAAAAATATTGCAATTGAGTAATTATGTCAAAATTACTGTCACGTTTTCTTTGTAGCTCACTGTTCTTAGAAAATGAAAATGCGAGTTATTCCTTTTCGTTTTTTAGCGACTTTATTAACTAAATAATATCCGGAAATGATGAAGTTATAGGTGTAAAATTTATTCTGTAGAATGCACACGAGAATCAAAATTTGTCTATTCAACATCTGGAAAAAAAAAACAGATATTATCTCAAAATATCATTAATTAAATTCTACTTCAAACAGGCATCACAATATGTGCTTTATCATCCACTGACATTTATACTTGCTTTGTCCGAGAAAAAAATAAGTTTGCACCATCAAATTTTTGCAGTTTGACTCATTCGAAAATTTGGCAATGTACGACCACTGTTTTAGGAATTACAGAACGTTAATTAAATTTTAATTATTCGTCCCCTACAGAAAGTTGATGACCTTATTTAAAAAAATTGGTCTAAAGTTATTTATAAAAGTACAAATAAAAATGTTGTGCATATGTTTCAAGTGAATTTTTCTATAATAAAATTTTGTGATCATCAATATTTTAGCAATGACACATATATCAGTTTGAATACATGCAGTGCAATACTAATAATAGTACCCTATACTTAAATGTTGGAGAAAATAGGGTGAACCGTCTTCCATTTGATCAATAAAATAAATTTCCTCATTCATTAATTTTTTTGAGTCATCTTGTATAAGTAATTCTAAAAATTATGAATGCATTGGTACACTACAATAAATTCAAAATATTTGGTATATTTTACAAAAGATTTATTGGGCAAAATTTTGAGATGACGTTCTCAACTTTTGAGTTAGGATAAATGGGTAAATTTTGATTAACGATAGCTATCGTTTTTTCAATTTCAAAATTAAATTGAAAAATGTTATACAATTTTGATTTTTGTTTTCCAAAAATCTGGATGTCTACGGTAAAAACTCAACACGGATTCATAAACGACAAGTGCAGGAGCAGCTTATTATAAAAAATTTAAATAACATGTACTAATGTAAATTTTGTGGATGACGTCCTCCCCTTGTTGATGTGAATGTTTGACCAAATTTTGGTTAGCGTTTTATGATATTCCTAACATACATACGAAATTTGACAACATTCGGTCTGGTAGTTTCGGAGATTATCTGTCTAATAAAAAACAGTACAGACAGACAAACAGGCTGACGTAAATGGGGGACATATTTTTTCGTATTCTTGGGGTCACGTCGAGAAAACATTACCCCATTGGCCCGATAGACTCGATTACAATACTTCTTTAGCTTACGCTCGGGAAGTAAAAATTAATATATTTATCCGCTTGTACAGCATGTGACAAAATGTAACAGTCGATTTTGACTATTGACACCGTCAAAATTAGGATGTCATCCACATTTCTTTTTAAATGGCAAATCTAGTTTTGTACTGCTTGTTTTAGGTGAGGGCAAAAAGCTACACGCGTTCAAGTGAAATTCTTTCAACAATTTTTTACACACCATACACTTCAGGAAAAAATTTGAAAATCTTTAGCCGACACTGTCTGATTCATGCAGTTTTCAAGTAGCATTTATCTGACTTGCGCAGTTCTTACCATACAAAAATCTCTCTGACGTTTAATTATTACAAAATTTGTTAAAAAAATCGTTATTTTGCTTCAAAATAGTTAAGAAAAGTTGGCATTTTAAAAACAAAACTCCAACGTCATTTTCAAATCTAAAAACGTAAATCGCGTAAAATGTTTTAGTTGAGTTTACAATCAGTATATAGCAATTAAAAGTTCTTTTCAAAGTCAGTTTCGGGTTCGTATATGAACATACCTAATAAAGTTTAATTCCAACACAATCAACAAGAATCTATATGAATATAATAGAAAATTAGTTCCATTCCTAAATTGTAAGACGTATAAGTTTTTCTTTCTGTCAGAGCTAGTGGAACAAACAGTTTGAAATACATGTAAATATTATAGATTTCTATGACATGGTTTCCAGTTCAACTACAATAATTTTTGTTTTATGCTTGTTACTTATTGTTACCTTTGTTTATTTTTTTTTCTGTATACTTCTGTAATTTTCAAAGTATACATAAAATCGTAAATCCAACTGAGCAACAAAGTGGATTCCTCACAATAGGCTACACTTGATTTGTCAAAATTTGGAACTAAATTTTTTCTGTGACTTCAGACTAACTTAAAAAAAATAATTTATGAACTGCAAAAAAAAACAACTCAACTCAGACTTATAGTTGAAAAGCAAAACTGATGACTGCGGTGCAATTTGGATAAAAAAATATGATTTTCGGTAGTTATACTATCATAGTATTATACATTATATATTTTTTGGAAAATCCTAAAGAAAATATCTTGCACGATAAGCTCATAAATATAATCAGTGTTAAAGAATTTATGATGAAATAATTCCTTTCACGTTAAACTAAACAGTTCCAGGAATATATTTTTAAGATTTAAAGTTATGCAAAGTCATAATTTTATTCCACTTATAACTTCTTATACATTTATACAATTTTCGGTGTAATTTTTTTATATCAATTTGTATTCTTATAAATACCAATCTCCTGGGAAACACATAATACAAAACATTCGTTGTTTTCTTCGCGACTCCAAAAATCCCTATTATATTCCAAGAATAATCATTTACATAAAATAACCTTAACAACTTTTCTACACTTGGAAGAACAAGGTAAATTCCACTATCAATTCTTGTTAAAATCAATTTATCCCACAACAGATTCATGTGTCATAATTGACCTTTTATTATTATCGTATACATGTCTAAAAAAGGTAAATTAAAGGATTTCTATTCCTAAATGTAAATCATAAACCAAAATGTTACCGCATCATTTAAAAAATACCGTACATTTTTAAGAAGTCGCAACATTAAAAATTCATGTAAATATGTAGTTGCATAATACTTTTAAAAATGTAAAATTTCATTTCCGATGATCTTATTAAATTAAAAAATATGTATTGCTTAATACGTAACAAGATTAAAATAAAAACAAAATGCAAAACTGGTCCCCTGGAATTTCTCGCGACGATCACGATCCTGTAAGTACTCGTACAGACATTCGTTTGACAAAAGGTCATAAAGTGACGTGGGCTTGAATATTCTTACACCTTCTGCCACCAACGTTTAACGTAACAAACAAAGCTATTGTACGGTGAAAGTTTCATTTATTCTACACTTCTATGCTTTTTTTCACCACCATTGTCTCGGCCTATACGTATATGATTTAGTAAATTGAATTATCCTTTACATAACTTTAGTTCCGTCTTTTAAACATACTCTTCTCCGTACAATTATTACACAAACTATTTGCGACTTGATATACACATAATTAACGCATCGTTATGTAAGTGCAAAAACAAGACCAACCTTTGTTCCATGAGAAAATTATTTTTCCAACCGCAAACGGCTAATTTATGTTGATTACTTCAAGCCGATTTAAATTGCTTTGTTTTCAGATGTTATCAACGCTTCTTTTGGGATGTAATGCAGCGCTGGGAGCGGTTTTGCCGCCCCCTTGGGCAAATCCTAAACTGAATCCATGCGCCACACAACCTGGGGGATGGCAGTTACTTTATTGGCCCCCCGACGGCAAGTGCTATAAGATTTTTAAGGTGGGTACTCTGGGTGATGTAGCCGTTTAATGATATTATCGTTGAACAAACGACCTTCCACGAGAGCGGTAAATGTCAGGTAATTAAATCAGAATGGTAAGACGCTGCCGCGAAGAACATCGAATTACGTAATGTGAACATCAAGACCTTCTTATTAAGTCAGGAACCGGAAACAATGAGAACGAGTTAAAATTATGTAAACGAAGGGAAAAAAAATAGCAAACAAGTTGGCAACCTTTGCAACTGTGGTCGGTTTTTAATTCTGCTATACGAAAAACGCACTATTTTGAAGGTTTAAGTCGTAAAAAATTCAACAAAATATTTTTTAATCTAACTTAATGAATGTTTTTACATTATGCAACCTGAGCAAGCAACTGAAACTAAGAGTTAAGAAAAGGAATTTTAAGTTTTGTTTCAAATTTTTTATTTTTTATCGCATACCATATCGCTAAATATCAATTTATGTTACCATGGATTGACCGACAAATTCAACTTTGGCGGTCGAGTCCCCTAAAATTTGATTTTAGGGGATTAGATTCCTGATGTAATGTAAATCTGCGCACCAGCCATTTTTTTGGCTTTTCTTTCGTTGTTTATTTATTTACAACTTGTCATGGGCAAACAAATGGACCGCTCTCTTAATTATAACAGGCTAATGTTTAATAAAATTTCTGCGAACTTTTCCTGCAAAGAAACGAGTATGTCATGCTATTAAATATTATTATATGTGCTTGAGTTTTAGCATAATTCTTCAATTAATCAGAATTTTCGTTTTATATTTAAAGTTTATAAAACCACCTTATTATTACAGATAATTCGTACTTTCACATAATGTATTTTTCTACGCCTGCAGTAAAACGGATGTGTGTCGTTTATTAACATATTTGCACGAGTATCACACTATACTGTTTTTTTACTCACTGAGAGTAAATGATTTTTTCACATACTTCTTTATTTCAACTATATGTAAATGATATCAGACATACTATTTTAAATATCTAACAAAAACATTCTTTATATTATATAAGAATATGTATGTATTTAATATTTTTTAAAATTAAAAATTTTCTAAACAATGTTAGTGTTTTAACAAAATTTCGATCGTATATTTTATTGCTCTCTCGATAGAACAAAAAATGTTAGTAACATAAAAAAATCTTTTTCAAACAAATTGCCGTGGCCTTGATTGGTCCTTTGAGTAAGGAAGAAGTAATAAATCCGCCAGAATGATAATCAATAATCCGTGCGAAAGTAATTTCCAAACTTGCTAAATGTTAATTCGACACTATTGTCAGTTACATTTCTATATTTGTATGGTAATTTGAACTTTTATAATAATGGTGATTGATGTATAGTGTACACATATGTATAGAGTTTTATACAGATTATATAAAAAGTATTAGATATTACTGCACACTAGAAACGCCAATTTAAAAAAATTCGTTTGAACTGTATTAATTACAATCATTACTTCGCGAGCGTAAGCTAAGGAAGTATAGTAATCGAGTCCATAGGGCGAATGGCGAAAAAAGTGGTCTCCCGTTTTCGTCTGTCTGTCTGTCTGGTGTCTATATCCATTTTTATTCGACAAGTAATCACGCTTTTTTACATTTACTTTAACATTACATACACATTTTTATTTAAACGTATAAGGGTTAACATAAAAAAATTAAATTCGCAAAATCAAATCTCATAATTTTTCGAAAAATCTGGATTTATATTTACCTTCGACCAATTTTTGAGATGTTTTTTCATTTTCTTTCATTTCTGAATTTTTCTATTTTTCAAAGTTTCGATTTCATAATTTTTCCTTTTTGCAACTTTTAAGATCCGGCTTATGGAAAGAGAATTAAAAGTTAATCGCAATTAATTCTAAATGAGGTCCTTTGCTATGCAACGTGCATGTTTTAACCAATCACGGGCTCATATTCTACATTTTAGTTCTATGTTAAATTAATCGAGGATTAATCGACTCTAACTTTTTCAATCTTTCTAATTTTTTGTTTCCTCAATTTTCTAGTTATTTATTTTTATTTTTCATTGTCCTGATTTTTATTTTCATTTTCTTGATTTTATTCACAATTTTTCGTTTTATTTCCTTTATTTTCTCAATGTTTCTTCCGATTTTACAATGTTTCGTTCATCTATTTCATTCTTCAAATTTTTCATTTTTCAATTTCACGATTTTCCAATTTTCAAATGTTTCAATTTTGCAATTTTTGGATTTCTCAATTATCCGATTTTCCGATTTTTTAATTTCCAGTATTTCGAATTTACAATATTTCGTTTTTTCGATTTTATAGTTATTCGATTCATAATGGCCGTTTGTACTGTACTTTTAAACACCTGATTAACGTTATGCTTTGTTTAATTTGACAGATTTATTTGCCTTTTTTTATCATACGTGTAGACTTCTTTTCACAACAAGAAACTTAAAACATGTTCGAAAATGGTACATTTTTGTAGAGAAATATCTATTTTGCAATTACGCTCCGCTCCTAGGTCTAACAACGAATGAAAAATTCATCACAATTGAGATCGGGGCGGGTGGATGGGGTTTTAATCTTTATTATTTTTTTTGATATATAAAGTTTTCTTTCAACAACAGAATAGTTAACATGTTTTCAGTTTCGTATATTAAGAAAAATGGACAAAATATAAGTCCCGCCCACCCACTCCTTCTCAATTGTGATGAATTTTTTATTCATCATGAGCTGAAGGGTGGAGCTTAGTTGCAAAATTCTCCTTTCTCTACAAGAAATTACCATATGAAATATGTTTTTAAAAGGGTAGAATTTTCTAGAGAAATTTTGATGTTACAATTAAACTCCGCCCCTTGGTTTGATTAGGAATGAAAAACTCATCACAATTGAAATCGGGACGGGTGGGTGGGGCTTAATTTTTCTTTTCTTTATGTACATAGTTTTCTTTCAACAATTTTTTGGCACAAAGAACAAGAGATATTATAGTAAAAACATAGTGTCAATATATTATTCAATAATGTAAGCCACGTAGAATAACTTGTACTTTCTCATTTTTCTCGAAGAGAGAGATGAAAAACTAAAAATGTAAAAATTCAAAATTCAAAACGCGTGAAATTTAAAATGGAAAAACTGCAAAATCTAAAAATTCGAAAGTTGGAAAATCCGAAAACTGTAAAATTTAAAAATGAAAACTTGAAGAAATATCGTAGAATTGTAGAAAAGAAAAACAAAAAACTGAAAAATTGTAAACGGAAAAATTGACGAAACGAAGAATTGAAAAAATGTGAAATTGAAAAAACAAAAAATTATAAAATCGGAACATTGAAAAATTGAAAAATAAAGAAAATAAAAAACTGAAACAAAAAATTGCAAAAGAAAAAATTCAAAAGTTGAAAACTCGAAAAATTTAAAATCGAAAAAATGAAGAAACAAAAAACGAAATATTGAAGAACTGAAAAATTCAAGTCAAAAAAGCTGTGGGACCGTTATTTACGCCACTGGACTAGCAGAAAACAAAAATTGCAAAAAAATATATAATTTTTCGAAAAAGTGGGATTTATTTGGCTGCATTTCTGAGGCGAGGGAAGTTCTGTTGAAATAACCTTCGCTCAATTCTTTAACAATATTTTTAATAAGTAGTCATAAAAAACCTTCGTTCAAACTGATTCTAAAACTATACCGTGCCACAGTTTAGCTGTTCTATTAAGTATAACATATCACCGTAACAGTTGTTTCAAAACACAGAATTCCAAAATTCAAGAATAAAATTTGACAATACAATAACGCTCAAAACAAGTTAGTTGAAAATTCCAGACAAAATTTAGCCGCAAGATCATTTCAAAATTTTCACGAAATTCTTATATGGTTTGGCATTTAAAAGCTTCTAAATTTTGAAAAATCAAGTGCAAATTAAGTTTTGTTTGCGACTTTATAACTAGATTACAGGACCTTTAATTTTTTCCAAAATGACACCATGTTTTTCTTTTCAAGTACAAAAGAGTATTTTTTTAAATACATACAGGGTGTCCCAGAATTCGCGCCATTCCCGTGAATGACATGTTCCCTGTCCCGAACTGTGCCGTAATTCGCAAAAAGAATTGTCCAGGCTATAACCGTGTGAGAACTGGAAGGCGATTAAGTTGACCAATAGAGAGGCTGCTTTTATATCCGAACGTTTCTATGTTCAAAGTTACCTATGCCAAGAACAAAAAATCGGGTAATACTAAAGTTGAATGAATTTTTTCCGAATCCCCCTCCGTCAACAAAAGGAAACAGAAGTGTGGTTATAAATTTAATCATTTTGACAATTGTTTGTCATAAACTGTCACGAAGTTCATCACTGACCTGAAGAGATGCTTCTGCGCCAAAGATGACTGATTAATATACACAGAGACGTCAAGGTTTACTTTAAGGCAAGTAGCATGGGACAGAAGTTATTTCTGCTGCCATTCTAGTTAAATTGTGTTTAACTGGGCTGTACATGTCATAAGAGAAGCTGTTTCATTTCATCGTAGGCAAGTAATACATTTGTTACTATTCTACATAGTGTAGATACCGAAGAGCAGGTATTAGAAGTCATTTTCTTAGAGCCCCGTGAATAATGTGTTGTTCTTTTTAACGAAAATTAGTACATTTTCAGAATTCACTATGCATCATATGCCTGATATTAAGTTTATCGTTATTTCTAAAAAAGAGTACCACATGTCCATTCAAAGAACGTTATTAAGTGTACTAAAACATAAATATCGCTTTTGATTAATCGGTGCTTATGATTTTCAATAAACAGTATCAATTTTTACTGAACAGCTTTGTTGCTGATACCTAATCTAAGCAACGAAAAAAGAGACGAGATTCCACTTCTCTGGTGTATTAAGATCATAGGTATGTGCTGTGGTGTCAATCATGTGGGGGAGATACTGAAAACTGAGACTTATTCAAGAATAATATTGATGTTGCACATGATGATTCAAAACAGTTTCTTTAAAGTTGTGAGTACTTTCTAGAGATTGAAAAGATACGAATAAAAATTATAACAAAAATCGTTTAGTTGCAATTTTTGTTAAGAACAATACAAACTATAAACAAATCAGTACCAATACCACTAAGTTATTGATGTCTTATTCATACTAGTATAAAGAATATTTGGAAATGATGTTAATTTATGGAGAATGTAAGGCGATCAGGTAACACAAACGGCCCCACTTAAAAAAACAGGAACGGAGTTTAGTGATAATTTTATCAGATGCATTAAAATTTTTACCACAGTAGTACCATTGATATATTCCAGCCCATAGATTAATAGTAAATCGCTCCTGATATGCTCTCACCCTAGTGAGATGTGGATTTGCGTGTGCTCAGAAATGCCAATTGTGTGCATTAAACATTCCTTCTCGGGAAAATGAACATTCGTCGGTGAAAAGAATGCGCCGTGTAAAATCAGGGTTTAGTTCATTTTGTCGCAGTAACCATTGAGCAAAATGTACTCGTCGCGGGTAGTCGGTTGGTCGCAGATGCTGCACTCTCGTGTAATGGTAAGGATGCAGTCTTCTCTCTTGAAGAATACGATGAGTGGTCGATCTTGAGCATCCACTCATTTGCGCTACGTAGAGGACACTTCTCCTAGGATCCGCTTCCATGTTTTCTAACACTTGCTCTTCAGCACCTACACGTACATTCCGTAGAGCCCCAGCACGGCCTTTCCGACTAGGTTGAAAAGATCCATCTTCTCTTGCTCGATGTAACAATCGGTGAAACACATGTTGGTCTAGGTGCCGACGATTATTCACGGGGCTCTAAGAAAATGACTTCTAATACCTGCTCTTCGGTAGCTACTCTATGTAGAATAGTAATAAATGTATTATTTGCCTACGATGAAATGAAACAGATTCTCTCATGACATGTATAGTCCAGTTAAACACAATTTAACTAGAATGGCAGCAGAAATAACTTCTGTCCCATGCTACTTGCCTTAAAGTAAACCTTGATGTCTCTGTGTACATTAATCAGTCATCTTTGGCGCAGAAGCGTCTCTTCAGGTCAGTGATAAACTTCGTGACAGTTTATGACAAACAATTGTCAAAATGATTAAATTTATAACCACATTTCTGTTTCCTTTTGTTGACGGAGGGGGATTCGGAAAAAAATTCATTCAACTTTAGTATTACCCGATTTTTTGTTCTTGGCATAGGTAACTTTGAACATAGAAACGTTCGGAGATAAAAGCAGCCTCTCTATTGGTCAACTTAATCGCCTTCCAGTTCTCACACGGTTAAATCCTGGACAATTCTTTTTGCGAATTACGGCACAGTTCGGGACAGGGAACATGTCATTCACGGGAATGGCGCGAATTCTGGGACACCCTGTATGTTAAACACAGTATTTTTTTATTTTTTCCATGGCGTATCACTTGATATGTAAATCGTTTGATTTAATGGTGTAAATGTACTTTAATTGAAATTATGGTGATGTCATTTTTACGAATGATATAATAGCTGTGATAAAGTAATTTAAAAAATTTTTTTTTAATTCAATTAATCAATTTTTTCAAGTATATGCAGCATTAAAGTAAAACAAGTAAACTGAGGTGCAGTTATTTGACCAGTTTTTTTTTTACAGTTTAGAAGTATTAAATTAAGTGGGCTATGTATCAAGTGTTGCACCATAAAAAACTAAAAACGTATTCTATTTATTGCACTTAAATAAATATAGTCTATTCTACTTGAAAACAAAAACTTGATTTCATTAAAAAAAAAAAATACAAAAAAGGTATACATATAATATGTATTAATGGTATAGATTTCTTTGTGTTAATCAACCGTTTTAAATACCAAAATTTCTCAAATTACTGAAATATTAAGGCGAAACTGGAAAACCGGGAACACCCAATATATTTAATCGACATTCGCACTAAAATACAATAACTCCTCCACTAATATAGTTTTTACGTTTGTCACACAATTTGACACATATATAACCGTTGATTGCCATTTTCACAGAAAATAACAAAAGTTTTGATTGGATTTAGTTTAACTCAAAACATTCTGATATCAAAATAACATGTTGTTACAATATCATTGATACAGAATTTTACTTACACGGTTTATATCATCCTTTACAAAAGAGTTACACACATATGTAAAAGAAACGTCTAAAAATTTAATTTGGTGTTAAAAGTTGATTGAAATCCTATTTATTAAAAAATGCACACACTTTGATAACATTATTTCCGAAAATAAGTATGTACCAACATATACATAGCGAATCTGATGTAAAGACATCAACTGATGTTTATTTAAACCACAAATAAAATCATTATCAAAATATCTAACTAAAACAATCCCACATCATTTCAGACCGGCTATCCCTGTTCTGAAGACATGGAACTTAGCCCCTCACCCACGAAATCGGGTGAGCAAAAATTCTCAGCAGAATGCCGTTGCCCGCCAATGAAAGCCCAATCAGCACGCGACGGCAAGTGTTACGACTTGTACGCCAGCGGCCCGTGCGAAAAAGGCTTCTATTTCGCCCCCGACACCAAATATAACAACAACAGGTAAGTCATATCCATTTCCCCACTTCAACCATTTGTTTTTTTTTTAATTATAGCAACTCAAAACGTCTATGGGGCGTCTGCACTCAGATGAAAACCTGCACCGGCCCCAACGAAATATTCTGGCCACGAGATGGCCATTGCTACCACAAGCTAACCAAAGGACCTTGCTCCAAGGGCCAACTTTTAACGACTAACCCTGATAAAATTCCAGAGTGCAAATGTACTAAACATAGAGAATTGAGATATTATAGATACAGTGATGGAAACTGTTATCAACACTTCACACGGGGGCCATGTAAGGAAAAAGGGCATCTTTTTCTACCCGACCGATCCTGCGGATGTTATAGTTTCTTACCGCATTTCCACGACGATACAAAGCAATGTTTTGAGATAGGTTCGATCGGACCTTGTAATACCGGCGAACACTATCAGCTAGATTCAGAAACGCGACGAGGATCCTGTCAGTGCAAAACTGGCTACATCCGATATTTGAACACTTCGTCGTGTTACAGGCCTTTTACACAAGGACCGTGCGAGTTAGGGCAAATCTTGATTAATTCAACTACTTGCATGGGGCAACCGTGCGACAGAGGACATCTATATTTTTTAAAACAGGATACGTGTTATAGAATTGGGACACGAGGGCCTTGCAAGAAAGGCCGTATTGTGACGTTCGATTTTGACACACGCCCGTCACTGGATGGAATTTCGTATAATGGAGTCTGCAGTTGTGAAAAGCACGTCTACAGCAACCAGTGCGATGAAGAGGAAATCACCCAGTGTAATAAAAGTGACGGTATGATAATGTACCAAAATCGATGTTATAAACTTTACGGTCAAGGGCCGTGCCCAAAAGGAGCGTGGATGGCCCCTAAAAGGTACAAAAAACAAGAGATTTGGAACAGTGATAGTGAGAACGAAGGTATTTGTGAGTGCGTTCCTGGTTATACTAGGACAATACGGACGTCAAGGAATGTAACAGAAATGGCTTGCATGCCACCAACTGTGATTTTAGCTGAATATTTAAACAGAAATTTTTCGTCTGTAGGTCAAATTGTAACTTTATAATTTTACGATTTATACTTTTGTAATAAAAACGTGAACCTACCTTAGTTTTTTCTTAAGGTCGTTTACAGTCACCTCTAGGGATGCAATGGTTTTCTCCCTGGATTTTAATTCTAGTTCCACCCTGGCTAGTTTTTCGGTTTTGTCATCTAACGTTCCCTAAGATCAAATAAATCAAAATGTTTTATTATAGCTCTACAGCAGCTTACCAATAATTCATCTTTTTCGTGATCTAGTTGGGCCAACTGACTCTTCATGATTTGAATGTCATTTCTCAACATGTCTACTTCCTTGGTGACATGTCCACGATCGAGATCACGCTTTTTCAAGTTATCTATAGCACCAGCAAGTTCCTTTTCTGACTGGATTAGTTTACTCTGACTATCTGATAATGATCGATCAGCTTGCTCATGTAAATTTCTATAGAAGAATGATTATCAACGATTGCTGTTTTGTTATTACATTATTCCTTGATAATGTTACTTACTTTAATTGCGCATATAACGCCCGCTGTTGGTTTAGCTCGTTTTGTGCCATACGCAGCTGATCCTTGAGTGTGTCACACTGTTCTTGTAAAGTATCAATAGTTGCTCTTCTTGAGCCTTGATTCTGGGCCAATTCACGACGTTCTTGTTCTAGTTTATGAATTTGTTCCTCAGCTTCCAACAAACGTCTCTGAAGTCTTTCTTGATCGGTAATTTGAGATTCGGATACATTCTTAAGTTTATATTTGAGAGCATCTCGTTCTTCCTCTACTCTTTGTAAATCGGCACGTAGCAGATCACGTTCGCGTTCTGTGCGTTTACAATTGGGCTAAAATATCAAAACAATTCTTGATATGAATATTTCAACCAAATAAAATAATCAAGAACATTGTTATTGAGAAACGATTCAATGCAATAACATCCGATATGTTAAGAATTTTGGACTCGACAAAAACTAGCACGATCATGTTTAAATGAAAAAGTGAAAACACTACTATAATAATAAGCCCTTCCTGGTGCATGATATTTTCGAATATCGTAATATTTGTTAGTCCTGCTAAAACGTTGTGAGGAACAATTTTTCATGATTTCTGTTAATGATAAAATTTTACATTGCATTACTGTCTGGGAAAAATGGAACGGCTCAAGATTAATACATTGAGATAGAGTAAGTTTTTCTCGTGCTTCAAAAAACTACTAATTGAAAATCAGCATTCTACCTAGAGTATTTATCTATGTTATAGGTATGTATGCATACGAATAATATTGTGATGGACTGAGTGTAAATAAATTTAAAGTATTCTTCTCATTTTTATGGCGTAGAAGATTCTATCCATAAAGTATTCGAAAGCACGAAATATTAAAAAAAATCTTTTTAAATATACATTCATGAAATTCATCTAAAATTAATAGAATAATGAAGCGTTCTTGATAGGTGCTTATCAAACTATTGCTAAAAGCTTAAAACCTATTTACTTTTTATTTTTTATGTAAATATATTAGTATGACCACATTGCTTTTATCAAGTAACAAAAAATCAAACAGAACAATGAAATCACTTTTCACATTATTCAGCTGTTATAGTTAATGGGAAATTTATATGTATTCTTGTACATGAGCGACAAAACGTAAAACTGAAGATAATATATTAAGAACGAAATATTTTAATTTGATGATTTACAATTGCCTTAGCTTAACTATGTCACACTCTACCTTTAAGCATGGTCCATCCATGCTAGTCTCTGGTAGTTCTCTTATACTTTCCAATCGTGAGAGCAAATTGAATTTTTCTTTGGACAATACTTTATTTTCCTGTTCCAGTTCTTTTATATCTTGCTCTTTCTCCCTAAGTTTTTGCACTAGATCTGAACCCTAGAATTCAAATTGGTCTCAAATTGAAAATTCTGGAGAATTACTTACTTTTTCACTTTTGCCGCTACTACTAGATCTGCTTGGAATATTTTTCACTTGTTCTAACACTTTGTGATATTCTTTCATATAATACTCCTTTTCTGATTTTAAATTTTCAATGCAACGTTGCGCCTAAAAACATGTACTATTATATAAAAAAATTTCGAATTTTAAAACTGATAGTTCAAACTCATTTACCATATTTTGCTATGAACAAACTTGAACAGACTTAAAAGGATATACAATTTGTGAGTCCACGTCAACTTACATAATTTAATTTTAGACTAATTCACGTTTACCTGTTGTTCCCTATAATCCAATTCCTTATCTAATAACTCTTTCAAATGTCGTGAAGATGAGCAAGCGTCACAATGGCAGTTACAACATCTACCGCTTCCTGGAGTTACTTCCATAGGTGTATTGGTTGGAACTTGTAATGGTGATGACTGCGGCAAAGTTTTAGGAGATTCACTTTTAGTTGGCTTTCTAGAGCCAATTTTTTTCTTTGACTTGTTTTTTGTTCTAGTTGGTGATGGCTCTGGTGATGACATCTGATTAATTACGCCCACGTGATCTTTTTGTAGCAAAGAACTCTTTCGTCTAGTTGGATCTGACTGAGACGGTACCTCAGTAGATGAAATACGATTGATTTCACGGTTCTGTGAAGATCTTTGCGGCAGCGGACCGGTAGTGGGTTGTTCAGTGCCCTAAATGAATAAAATTTATTAAATATGACCATTAGCGTAAATGGATGCTCAACCTCAGAGGAGTGGACCTGCTGTTCAACCTTTCCATACTGTAACGAAGATTCTAATTCTGCGATTTTCCTCTTTTGTTCGGCCGACAAACGCGTCAGTCTATCAATTTCCATATTCAGATCATGTTCTGTAATAAAATCAGTTATTTTGAAGTTAACTACAGCATCAATTAATAACCAATAATCGTGAAGTTATTAATTCTATCTGTCAGACGCTTCTTCTCCTCTAGTGAAGTTTCCAAAACAGTTTGCAAATGTCGCTTCTCTACAATTATTGCATCTAATTCTCCACTCAATTCTTGTTTCTCTTGCTTGAGTTGAGAATTTTCTCTTTCTAAAGCTTGAATTTGAATAACACTTTCGTGCATTCTGCTCTGTAAACTTAAATTGAATGATTAACAAGTCATCACAGAAAAAAACGAAATAGTACCGATTTACTTTCTCTGTGTTGTTCTTCACTGTGTTGTTACATTCTGCTTCAACTGCTAGCGCTAAATGATCAATATCCTTCATTTCTTTTTCAAGCATTTTATTTCTTTCAGCCAAGTGTAAAGCACGTTTCATGGCTTCATGTTGCTTAGCTAATGATTCTGAAATAAGGAACACCTCAATATTTCAGATTTAGTTTAACGGACAAAGCACTCTTATTAGAAAAAATATAAATGAGCATTAAGAATTAATCTAATAGTACACAGTATGTAACGGTTAGTGACAGTTTGTGATGACTCAAATGTGTTTCTCATAGTATTTGTACTGTAGGTACACAGTCCGTAAACCACTTGTGTATCATTTATCAAAATTACTAATATCGGTTTATATAAATAAAAGCGATTTGTCATTTTATCATAGCAACAATTTATTTTTCCTAACATTAACTGTATATTCTACGATTTCTCTACGATTTTCTGATGTCATTTGCTAGTCACACGCGCAACATCATAATTCAATTATTATAGTTCAAAATTCCAACATGTTACACATTTTGCGGTAAAAAAATATGACAGATTTTTTTGTGTAGGTAATAAGTATATATGTACATACCTAATTAAATACTATTTTTTCTAAGTTTTTTTTGGGTACATTTAATTATTCAATTAAGCAATGAAATGAGACCTTAATTCAAGCTGATGACTTACCTTGAGTTTAAAAATGAAACTTTGTACTACTAGTAGGTAGTGAAAAAATACATAATGTTACAGTTAACCTTTTAAAATACTAACATACAGAAGTACTTTTAGTGCCTAAGGAATAAAAATCATATAACCACCCTATATAACATATCTCAGTTTGACTCTTACCAGACACACCATATGTATTAAAAAAAAACACTCGCACATAAACAACACGCCTGTTATTGCTACTTACCTTTTAAGCGATTTTCTAAAACATGTTTTTCCTGCAAGATTTTATTCATTTCTTCCTGAAATGCATTTACTTCTTCATGTGACTGCTTTGTACAACAACAATCTTTTTTTATAGCAGTAAGAGGGCGCCCTCCCTCTAGAAGACCATTTAATCTCTTAATTTCCTTATCTCTGTTACTTAATTGGCACTGTAGCAATTCATTGGCTTCAATTAGTTGAAGATTGTGCTCTTTTAATGTTTTAAGATCTTTTGACAAATTACAAATTTTTTGATCAGCTAGTGCCATCGCGCTATTAATTTCAAAATGTTTACTTTTTCTGTCAAACTTGTCCCCTTTTAAGGAGGTAGTTGACTGACTTCGTACAGTTGGTTTACTTTTTTGTTTTGAGTTTAAAAGTATTTCACAACGATTCACCAATTCTACTTCTAGTTGTTTAATTCGATTTTTCAATGTTTCTACTTCTGAATAATAATCCAAATTTTCTGTTTTCAACACCTCCAAACGTCTTTTTAGATCTGTAAAACAAGAGGTAGTTGCCATCAGTGATTAAATAGAAACATTTTACCTTTTTGAATCTTTTCATTTTGCTCCTTAGACTGCAAAAGTGCTAAATGCACTTCATTACACTCTTTAACGAGTTTAGCATTATCGCATTTATACGGTTCTGCGCCCAACTGGAGGTTGTCTCGTTCCTTAAAAATACGAAAATTCCGTGACACCAAAAGTCAAAATGATTTTTCTCAGTGACGTGACAGTTACCTCGATTGCATTTTGGGCTATTTTCATGTATTTCTGAAGACTTTCCGTTGTCGTTTTTAAATCTGCCACCAATTTTTCAATTAGAGGGGCAGATTCTGGGGTAAATGATTGGTAGTAACCCAATTCGTCCAATTCTTCACGAAGTCTCTTCACTTTGGACTCCATTTTTATTCTATGATAATCACGTTCACATTATTGTAAAATAATTAAAATTAAAATGCTAAGCTTAAAATATTTGGGATTTTAAAAATTAGGAACATAACCTCAATTCTATTTGTCAACAACTAACGATCAAAATTTGACAAATGTTTAAAATTGTTGCCAATAGCAAATTATTAAAAGTTAAAATTTTTCAAATCGAAGTAGACATTTTTCTGATTACAGATTGGCTACAGTGGCAAAGGCTTCTGGCTTTTTAATGGAAACCGTATCACCAAAATATTGTCATGTAGATTCTTTACATATTTTTGTAATGTTTCGTAACATTATCTTTCAGTTGGTTAAAAAATGTTACTTAAACTTTAACAAATACCTATAATTGTGTGCTCTGGTGACGTGGAAGCAGCCGTCGCTATACTGAAATAAAAAGCTCACACACGCCTACAATCCTGTGAGTCAGTGTTTGCAATGAAATACATGTAATTGTTCCAAATAAAAGTTATTTTCTATTCAACAAGTTTATTTAATAACACTAAGGAATCGCTGTAGTATACTTATACCATGCCACAATTTACCTACTACACATACACAAAAATCGGCCGACGCCAATTAAAAAAAAACAAAAGCTTTAATAAATCAAACTAGCAGCAGTAAAACAGTCAGTAAATAAATTAAAATGATTATAGTGTACAGGGGGTGTAGAAGCACTGTATAAAAATAAAATTTTGGCTTTTTTTTACAAATGAACCTACATGGGATTTCAGTCAAAAATCCTAACCTATTTAGCATAATAACTGAAATCCCAGTCTAGTTTGACAAATTAAAGCTTGTTTACGAGTCATGCACCAATAATAGTGAGCGCCTCAGCTCGCTCTTCTTCCAATTCTTTTCCAGTGGTTTCCAACATTTTTTTGGCAAAGTCATCAGTGGGTAGATCCTTTACAATCTCCCATTTCTTATTACTGATTGTGACAGGGAAAGAAAAGACAACGTCTTTTGGCGTTCCATAGCTACCATCGCTTACCACCCCCATAGAAACAAATTTTCCAGATGATGTCCCATTAAACCAATCTCTCATATGATCAGATGCAGCTTTGGCAGCTGACATTGCAGAAGACATCTTTCTAGCATTGATAACAGAGGCTCCACGTTTTTGCACAGTTTCGACAAAAACTGATCTCAGCCAAGCATCATCACTTATAGCTTCCCTCACGGAGAGATCTTTGCCTTCATTCACCCGCACTTTTCCATGGGAAGCGTCAGGGAACTGAGTTGAGGAGTGGTTTCCCCAAATAATTATGTTACTGATATTGGCCACGGGTAGATTCAGTTTGCCAGCAATTTGTGCTTGTGCCCGGTTTTGGTCCAAACGAGTCATTGCAGTGAAGTTCTCTTTTGGAATAGATGGCGCAAATTGAGAACAAATAAGAGCGTTGGTGTTGGCTGGGTTTCCAACTACCAAAACTTTGACGTCTTTGTTTGCGTATTTATCGAGGGCTTCACCCTGTTCTTTGAAAATCTTCACATTTGCGGCGAGAAGATCTTTACGTTCCATCCCTTGCTTGCGAGGCATGGCACCAACCAAAAAGGCCGCAACAACATCCTTGAAAGCTACAATTGGGTCGGCTGTGGGAACTACTTGTCTCAATAAGGGGAGTGCGCAGTCATCGAGCTCCATGACTACACCCTCCAAAACGCCCATCATGGGTGGAATGTCGAGGAGATGTAGAATGAGGGGCTGATTGGGGCCAAAGACATCACCTTTAGCAATCATATACAGAAGGGAGTACGCAATTTGGCCAGCGGCTCCAGTGACGACGACACGAATTGGTTCCGACTGTAATAAACGAAAGTAAATTACATAATAAGTAATTTATTAGCTGGAATGTTTCTTTTTATCGAAATTATGTTTACAGAAAATTGGATCGGTTCGACTTACCATTTTATAGTTGTTGTGTGCCCCTTTCTCAAAATATTTGTCCTCTGAGACCTTGGCGGCGTCTTTCCCTATTTATCACTAGTTTCTGAATGATAAATATGACGTCCTTTGACCCCTCTCACGATTTTCCACTCAACACAACACATGAGAAGGTGTAATGTCAACAGCTCGTTTGTTATTGGTGAATAGTTGCCGCGAAATTTATACCTGCCACTCACAGAAAAAGGAATTTTTAAATTTTTACAAAGAACTAGTTCGGTCCACTTACATTATTGTGTAATATGTATATTAATTTTTTACAATAATTCTGTACTTATTAATATTAATTATAATGGAGTATTTTAAAATTTTTGTAGAGCGTTATTTATACGCCGCTTTCAGCCGTGTTATCAAATTCCGTGCATTTTATTTTGAATGTTGTTATTTTGTTCTGTATTAATAATAATCACCATAATTATTTTTTATTATGGATAAAATATAACTAATCATCATAATACAATATACAGCTTGTCCTCAAAGTGTAAAATAAATTCATTGAAAAAGTAAAGAATTAAATTTGAGAATACATCACTCGTATATTTTCACTCACACAAATGCCAATAACTAAATGATCCACGGAGCAAGAAGTTCCGCGTTTAGGAGTATGCTTTAAGTGAATAATGAGGGGCGCAGGGCACGAAGTCCCCTGCTTTCATTAACAATCCGACATTTCCTTAAAAACACTTACAAAAGACGTTGAATGTCTGCACAATTATAGCACATAGGTAGGTAAAGGTAAATCAGTACTATTTTTTAATTACTAACATGCTTATTAATGAAGATTTTAGTAACCTACGCATAAATCCTAATCTTTACGGTTATTAATTATTATGGTTATCTTGGTTATTATGGATAATAACGAACAGTTTTAGTATTTACGCATTCATCAGGGACTTAGGCAGGCAACTGATTAGGCACGGGTCTGGCAAACCCGAGGTACCCACCCGGTCATTTGAACGCCAGATATTATGTCCGCTAACACTATAAACTGGATTTCATGCTTCAACTACCTTCGCGGGGTGTGGCGAACGTATGTAGTATGGAAAACAGTCGGGGAACTTGGCTTGATCACCTGGTCCACGAGGAAACAACCCCTATAAAGAAACCCTAAAATCAAGGTAGAATAGCGTATGCTGAAGACTACCTGGTCCAATTGACAAGGATGAAAATCCTGACCATGGCAAAGAAGAGGATCTTTGAAAAAGCAGCGACAAAGAGAATTAAAAGACCGGAGGCCCCGACTAAATGACGCTGCTAGGAAAACGCTGAAATACCTTCTCACTAAGAAGCTCTCCAAAGAAGAGGCCCTAGAGAAGGTAAAACAGCCCTTCTCTAAAGAACCCAAGGACGAAACCTCCAGTCGTAAATGATCGAAAAGGGTCCGACCTGGAGGTGATACTCCTGATGGATATGAAGCAAAGAATGTAAATTGGTCAGATGCTAATCCCTTCAGGCCTTCCTTCAGTCCGGCCCTCGCTGGCATAAGGGTACTAATCATTCCAAATGACTTTCCATAGAAGCTTCTGTCGATGGTCCAACTCAAGGCCGTACAGGAGTGAATCGTGAACAAAATGATATAACTGGAAAAAGGAACTGTATGCACAAACCATAGATCAAGGTAGCTATCCGTAACCTGTCCCGTCGAAGAGAAAATCCTGAAACTCATTGAGGTGCAGAACGAAAACCGTAATGTATCTCGCTTGAGGGTGCTCAGAATAAATCCTGTGGGCTTTATATTCGAGCTCACTTTTTCTGTAGACCCCCAGTCAGCAGAAAAGCTGAAAAGGATGGACCATTTGGTAAACTACAACTAAAAGTTCAACTAAGGCTGAGAAGTAGCAAAGCCAAAAAGATTCAAGAAGTGGAAGGAACTAGACATGCTACAACCATAGCAGGAACTTCCAAGGAGTAGCATCATCTGCTGACAAAACCGAAAGCGAAAAGTTAAAGGCGGTGAAAACTATCCAAAACCCTAAGCCAAGGCTCTAAAAGCCACGCCGCAACCCAAGGCAAATTCTAAAGACAAACAGGTGCCTTAGAAAACGCAGAAGGGGAGCGTCGTTAAAAAACCCAAACCAAAATCACATTACAGTTTTCTGAGAAAGTCAAATATTTGTGAGTAAGCGACTAGTTTGGAATACTAACGTAAACAAAATTCTGACGAAAACAACAGCGGCATTGTGAACATGCGGTCAATCTTTTAGTAAGACATGGGGTCTAAAGATGATCTCTAGTGGTCATACTTGACGGTTGTCAGACTTATTGTCACCTATGCATCAATGGTATGGTGGACAAAAACCTTAGAAAAAACGGCGCAAACCAAATTGCAGGCAGTGCAAAGACTTGCTTGTCTTAGCATAACGGGAATAATCCACTCCATCCCCACAGCCGCCCTAGAGGCAATGCTAGATTTGCTCCCTTTACACCTTTTTGTTAGAAGGGAAGCAGTATTGAGCGCCTTAAGGACTTTACAGACAAAATACTCAAAATCGGGAGATATGGTAGGTCACATCAAGATATTGAACAAAATTCGGACAGAATCGATGATCATACCATCGGATTTGATGCCAGTTGAGTTTGATTTCGGGTTGAAGTGGCGATCATTCTCAACCATAAGGTCAAACCGTTTCTAACCCAACTGCCAAAACATACTCTCGTTTGATATACAGACGGGTCAAAATCGGAGCAAGAGAGTGGATTAGGGATGTATGGTCCTAAATGCAGGATCTCCTTACCTTTAGGTAACAGCCCCACGATTCTACAAGCAGAAATTTCTGCTATAAATCTCTGCGCACAAGAGTGTCTTCAAAGGCCTCTGGAAAGCACTAAGATTTATATAATATCGGACAACCAGGCAGCACTACGTAAGCGCTTTAGAGACATCCTCCTGCGCGTCTAAAACTGTCTGTGACTATAAACAATCTCTCAACCAACTGACTAGCAAAAACAGGGTTACTCTGTGCTGGGTGCTAAGACATGAGGGAATAGAAGGAAGCGAAATAGCGGACACCCTTGCTAAAAAACGTGCGAAAGCTCCCTTCATTAGTTCAGAACCCTACTGTGGGCTAACAAAAGCCCACTTGGCTTGTGAAATTTATGAGTGGGAAAAAATTGAAAGAGAATCCCACTGGAAACAAGTTCCAGGGTCCAGGTCAACAACATCTGTAAAAGTTTGCGACATTTCAATAATCAATCATCTCGTAAAATGGGCAAGACCGAGGTTAGGACGTGCCGCGTGTCGAAACAGCGGAACATTTATATTCTGTTTCGATGGCCTATCTCGCAAAAGGCTGCAACGTTTGGGAGGGACGATACTAACGCACTTTCAAATAACTGATGTAGCTCCTAGCAGGAGAGCTAAGTTTCTTAGATTCATACTAGAAGAAGGGTCTCGCACAAAAGATCAGACTTGGTCGTACTGTGGATAAGACGTGCGCAACCTATATAATGTATCTAGTTATCAGTGGCGGCTCCTCGGGGTGAGCAGGCTAGGCAATGCCCACACTATTTTATTGTTTACGATACAAAGTAAAATATTGCTTTTTTTTCCTTTTTTTAATTTCTTATATGTATACACAAATAATTATTTTCATAAACATCATTTAAACCAACCGATTTTTTTCATTACATCTCACAGTTTCCGCAAATGAGAAATTGCAGTTGCAAAAAAGTGGGTCAGATCTCGGCGCGGCGTTATGCGGTTCACATGAGTATGGGCTAGTCCACCCTGGTCCACCCTCTTGATTGTAAGCAACGACAGACGTTCAGTTTTCGCTGTACGTGATTGAGAGTAAAGAATTCGAAACGCACGTTGCTGCATATCCGCGTTTTCTTGCTTCAAGCGGGACACGACGCCTTGCCGTCAATGTATATCTCAAACCTTGCAGAATGGGATTTCTGATATTCGATTTAAGGGTTTAATACATTAAAATCAGAATAACGAATGATGAGAATAACTAACGCATCGCCGTCAGCAACGGAGGAAGACAGAAGTTAAACGGTCCGCCTATCCCGGAAATACGTGCTGTCAAGACACCAAAAGGGTTCGGTAACATCCACCTGGCCCCCGGGTCCCTAAAACACATGTAGGTAGACACCGAAAAAGCCACTGTCGATTTTCCCGGCACGCCGCCATCCGAAGCAGGGCACTCCTAATGAGGGGAGCAAGTTCGATCGAGATGAACGAGCTGCTAGACGAATACGAGGACTTATTCGATGACAACGGCCACCGACTCCTTTCGCCGACGGTGTTCGGAGAAGGGAGTCGGTGACCCAGGATAGCGCTGCCACCACCGCATCACCGCCATACCGCGTTACCCCTCAGAAGAAAAAAATCCGGGTAGATCGGATGCTTGAGCTGGGGACTGTCGAAGACTACGACAGTCCATGGGCCGCTCCCGTCGTCAAGTATGGAGGAAGAATCATAGAATACCCTCCCTGTAGAGTTTTCTGTGGGTAGAATGAAGGCTTCAAGCATGGAGGTAGGATGACAGCAGTCATTTAACTAACCTTGGGATGACTGGAGGGAACATTTCTCATTTAACATTTATTTTTTTATAACCAATAAACACTGAAGGAACGCCGGCAAAAGAGCTCCACGCAAGTCATTTCTGACCCCTTCCGTACCCCCAGTAACATTTTATATGTAATAAATATTGAAGTTCTCACATTTAAATAATATGGGTTACGACATATTTTTTTTTAGAAAATCAATATTGGTTTTAAAGATTGAATATATATTTATTTTCAATGTTTAATATGTACTTATTTAATTCAGAACATTTAATAAATGTTCTTCATATGAAAGGGGGTATGGATATAAAAAAAACTTGTATGGAATACAATATAAAATTTATTAAACACAAAAATACATTGTCTGGAAAAACAATGTATTTGAAACGTTGAAAATTTGTACCAGGTGATTTTTTTTTTAATTTCTGCTGTAGTTATCCATGACATTTATGTCAGCAGTGAAACTGAAACTGCTGACATAAGCTTCATGGGCAACCAGAGCATAAATTTAAAAAATCACCTGATGTGAAACACAATATAAATTTTTTAAACATAAAAATACACTGCCAACTTACAATGAAATAAAAATACATTGTCAATGGAAATAACAATGTTCTGCTACATTTCAATCGTTATACAGAAATATTTATTTAATAATTATTTGCTCTATAACCAATTCATTGAAAAGCGATATAATTAATTAAAATAAAAAAAATCATACCTCATGTTTTTTTCGATGAGAATTCATTCTTGCTTTTGTCTGCGCTTAATGAAGTCCTACCATTTTTTAAATTTCAGTAGTTGTGGTGTTTTTGTGACGTTTCCGTGTTTCAAAATTGCATACATGTTTTTTTACGTCTTCTCTTCCTGGCAAATAAAGATTATTATCAGTCTGAAACTAGTTTATAAATACTATAATAATAATAATAAATGGTTACCAATTCATCTAATTTCTGCGTATCGCAAAGCGAGATTTTGAATAGTGTCAATTTCACAATAGCTAGTATTTTTTCAAATCAATTTTTAATATTGCGCCAATAAAAACCCTATGAAATAAATTACCTACAAATTGTCCCAACATGGTGCTCTTTTTCATTTTTTTGTTCGGTATCTTGATAAAAAGACATTTCATAAATATGTAATATATGTTGAAATTCATATAATTATAAATTTATAAATATAAAATGAATATTATATAAATATTTGTAATATCTAGTCAACATTTAATATTATTTCAATCTTCTATAAATATTAAAAAAAAATATTGCTTGCTACTGGGGACTCCATCGGGAACGATGAGTTATCGACAGAATGGATTCGCAGTTAACAAATAGTAAAAGAATTTAACTCATACCCATTCATGACCCCTACCACTAACATTGTTTAAATACATATAAGGAATTCACGTTCGGTAGATGTAACTAGATTTGGTAACTTTTTTTTTTAAGCTGTGTAACTGCGGACATAATTGTTCTAGTGTATAATGTATTACTGGAATGTCAGAAAGTAGGTATCAAAAATGTGACATGTAAGTAAGTAAAGGTCAAATATCGAAAATGTGATGGTTTTGTGGTAATCTGGTGAATCTATTTTTGAACCAACGAGAAAATCGCATCCCTCTAAAAGCCCAAAGAGCAACCCGCATGTAAAATTTTGAATCTTTTCCCTTCACTAGTTTTTTTAGGAGGACAAGTTTTGATGTCATCATCATGGATCCACAATTTCACCATGGATCCGTTCTGGTATATCCATGTCTCATCCAAGAAAATGAAAAGTAAATCTTCACCACAATCACGCAATTGGAGATAGGTACCGCCTTAGAAATTTGATTCTGGCAGCTATAACGTGTTTAAAATGTGAAAAACTTCGCCTTCGGAAACCTAAATTTATACGTGTATTACGTACAATTATTTTCATTTTATGTATTTAATGGACATGTTAATTTTTGTATCGCATGACGAACTACTCGACAAGCGCTTTAGAGCACGCCACTGGAATAACAGTTTCTCTGAGGAGCTGGAAGAGCCATTTATAACCCCAGTCGAAAGCGCGGTATCAGGTGCTTTTTAAACTATCTTCCCTCTTCTCATTCTACCTCCATGGTTTCAAGTAGAGTAGGTTTCACAACGAAAGGAGACTGCAGGTGGGAGTGCGCAGAACACAGTTTTGATTTGATCTTACAGTAGCAACGTTTCATTTGTATACAATACAATGTCATTACGAGGGGTTAGCTAAGCTGTTTACCCACAGAGTACCCCATCGGCTTGGCACGCGTCGCCTTTATTCAACCAGAAGAAGGGTAGCTAAGAACCGCTCGGATTACCGGTTTCCTACCTGCCCAGTTTTAAAATTGCAATTTATGGTGGGTATGAACCGCTGTGAAGTTAATTGGCACAAACACGAATTTGACTGAAACCATCATAAAATTTTATTTTACAGAAATGAAACGTCGTTACTGTTCAAATATCGTGAAAGCAGTGACAGCGGCGATGAAAATTTAAAAACATGCTGGGTGTAATCCGAGGGATATTCAAAATATGTATTTTGACTTTGAAATATTAAAATATTGTTGGCTAATTCTTAGCACTTTTATCCCCCCTTTTATCTAAAGTGTAGGAATACGTTATTTTATAAAATATTAGCATCTTTGATCAATATATACCTATAATATTAGTTTCTGAGGAAAGCATAGAGATAGAATCATCCTACCTCTATGGTGAAAAGTAACATTTTAGGTACAAATTCAGATTACGAAAGTGTACGAATATATATTTTATATCTATTTACTTTATCTTTATTACATTATAGGAATTCAATACAACAATACAACATTATACATTAGAAAGTTAAATGTACCATCTTATGCTATAATCGTTGCGCCTCTGTGGTCTGAAGGCCACGCATCGTAAGCCCCGCCCCTGGCCTCTTTCGTTCTGCGTTTGACTATACATATGCATATCAATATTGTGTTGATTTTTTTGAAAGTTACGAATCACATGTAATTACCGGTTCCGACTTGGTTGTTACTGTTACCGATTTAACAACATTATTCATAACATGTTTAAGAATCGATGAGAAACACGCGTAATCAAAAATTAATAAGAGCCCGCGCTTTTTTGAACATGACAACTTGAGCGCAGGTTGTTGGATTTCCTGTTGGCGACAAAAAATAAAAAGGTCACGTATTTTCTTGTAAGGTAAGCTGTCAATTTATTTTTTTTACAATCACTGATAAACTTTTTTGGAAAAAATTCAGAAAAATTTAATGTCGTGTTAATAAAGTGGCAGTTCGTGAAATATCAAAATTTTTGGTGAACAAAACTCAGAATGCCCGAGAATTACTATTGGTAATGTAAAATTTAAATATCCACTATATTTTCGAAATCTGACCAGTGTTTTGATCGTCGTCGCACCAATTAATGTTTTTAAACTATGTCGTGTTTGACGGAAGCGAAATTTGCTTAATAATATTACATAACCTCAAAATTCTTCACGCTTTCACAATTTATGAATTACTTTGCAGCCCAGACAATTTCTTCAAGAAAATGACAGATCTAGAGTCACCCAGGAAAAATAATGATTGTTATTTCTATTATTATTCAACATGTGCAAAGGTGATTATTTCATAAGCTGTTGTGAGTCCATATGTGATTTTGATCTTATCGTAGGGTGATAATTGCACGTTTCGCCATGAACCATCTGCGTTAGGCTGTGAAACTATGTGTTCCTTCTGGAAAGAAGGCAAATGTTTGAATGTTCATTGCAATTTCAGGCACATGGAATTAAGAGTAAGATTGTGTCAGCTTATGTATTTTATCAATATTAGTTACGTTTTTTGTAGAAAAATCGAAAGGCGATACCTTGTTATTGGGAATCTCAACCAGGCGGTTGTTTGAAACCTCACTGTCCTTTTCTTCATCAAAATCCTAAACCTCCAGTTGCCAATGAGTCGCTTGAGAGCAAAACGGATTCAGGAACAGGTATTTATATTGTTACTTTTGCATCTAATGGCTGACTTAGGTGACTACTTTGCAGAGTCTGCAGATAATTCAATGACTGAAAAGCTGAGTCATTTAAGTGAGAAGAATTTTAAGAACACTCCAGTTGATTCTTTGGTTGTTAATTTTGAAGAAGGTATGCAGCTAGTAAAGTAATTTTTAAGATACAAGTAGCGTTTATAGTGTTTTGGAATGTGTTGTTGCGTTTGTTTGTAAAATATTTATGTTTTGTTATGTTCCTATTAACTTATGCCATGGCCAAAACAATCTCCACTGAATTATCATAAATTCTGAAGAGCTTAACTATCGCTTGGTGCACTAAATTACCAGTATTTATTCTCTTCTAATTTTTAGTGGAATTGTTCCTAATGAAACTCTAAGGGTTTTATTTTGTTCGAGGTGCATTCTTGTATAGTTTTTCTGTGGGAAGTGAGGGGGATAATATATATTATATAACTATGTAGTATTTATTATTAGAATTATAATTATATGTAATCTCACTAATGTTATTGTACATATAGCAAAATTTAAGTTGCATAATGACAAGTATTTTGCCATATGCACAAAATCTGACTGTACTGTAAAACAGAAAAATGTTAATTTTGTTATATGGTGTCTATTGGATCAGAATTTAGTTATATTTTTTATATACACACACAACTGCAATTGTTACATGAATTTGTTTCTATGGTTGTCTTGAAAAAATCAAATTTTTTGGTACTTATTTTCTAGCAGTCTTCAGTTAATTGTACATTAAAAAAGAAATTAAAGTTGTTTTGTACCAAAGTCCTTGTTTTTATTTTCTGCAAGAATGCATCCCGATTTTTACTGTAATAATATATTTGATTGTGATGTGTTCTTGCAGAATCTGATAATGAATCAGCTCCAACTAACTCTCCTGTAAAGTCGAGCAACCGGGTTGTAAAAGTGAAAACTTTGGAAGAAATTAAACTGGAAAAGATCCAAGCTGAATCTGCTGCATATTATTCTTATTCAGGTACGTCTTGCAATTAAAATTATGTTATAGTCAAAGTAATTTTATTCAATGCTTGTGTCTTTACGAAGTTGTGATATAAAAATTAAGGTGAGACCTGGGTTATGTAAACAGCATTATTCTATTTCTTTTTTTTTGTGAGCACATACGCAGTATTAATTTATTCATAGGTTTTTGCACTGTTCTGACTTACAGCTAATTTTGTTTGATTGTGTATTCTAGAAGGAGACGCTGTTTCACACGACGCAGATGATCTACGCCAGAGGATATGGGAGAGAGTTTCAAGTAAAAACGTACCAAAAAGATTAGAAACAGTCACAACATCAGGACGAAAACGGCCACAAGAAGCAGCCAGCACTGCACCTGCGTTCAAAAAACAGAAAAAAAATGTCGCGAATGTTAGGGAGATTAAAATTAAAACTTTGGACGAAATACGTGCTGAACGCGCAAAGAAAGCCCAATTTTCTCAGTCTACTGTCCAAGAAACAAATACCCCTCCAGCTATTTGTGATAGTTCTGTGAGCAGTAGTACTGAAGATAAAGAAGAACAGAAAAAGTCTAGGTCCATGAAATTCAAATTACAGAGAAAGCCGCTGTTTATTCAAGAAACAAAGAATGAAGAAGAGTCTGCAGAGACAGTTAGGCAAGAACGTGTAAGTGATGCAGGAAGTGATAGAGTATGTGACAGTGAACAAGACCGACAAGACGTTAATTTGAACAAAAGTAACAACAACAATAAGGCACTCGATGAGATCTTGTTGTTACAAGATGATGATGATATGTGTAACGTGAGTTTAAAGGAAGAAGAAAGGCTTTTAAATGAGTTAGATGACTTTTTACAAGACTGAGACACTGAAAGCAATATAGGTTCATTGTGAAGTAGTGAAAAAATTAGATCTTTATTTTATTTTAAGAGATTAGCTTTAATTGTATTATTTTTTCATTCTATACATCTCATTACTAATAATGTTGTACAAAAAAACTTACTCTATATTTTTAAGAATTTTGAAGTAAAGACCATAGATAAGAAATTTGTTTTGTGTAAAGTACTATTAATACTATAAAAATTTCCCCATCCTGACATTTTGGAGTAACAGAAATTAAGTATATACTTAAGTATGTTAAAGTCGAAGGCGTACGTATTTTTTCTTCCTTCTTTGTTGTGGTGCTGTTGTATTAGTGAATTTTTTGCTTCCAAATTTGCAGTAGGTGCTTAGTCGAGTTTCCTTCGCTATATATGCTGCATTGTCCCATACGACATGGATCATATACTGCATCATTTATTGATTTTCGCAGAATTTATTGCGTTTTTCAACAACGTTTAATGAATAAACCTGAAGTTCAATGTTAAATGTGTAGATTAACTTTAAACCATTACACAGTTGTTGCGTAACTGGCAACGCTCCAATTTACAAGAATAATTAACTACTAGCTGTCGCCTTTTATGAAAAGAGGATTAAATATTATTATTGAAAGTGAAAATAAGAACTTCTGGGTACTTACATCTTAACGAGTCCTTAAAATATTTATCTGCCGTCTGTCAACTTCCGATGTACAAAATGAAATTTTTTTCTTGAGATAACTACATATACACGGTTGCTAAAAAGTATGGAAGCAGTTGAATATCGCGAGAACGGTTTATTAGAACTCATTGAAATTTGGCACACAAGTAAAAGTGTTTGAACTCTATCCTCTGAAATAGGTATTATTCAAATTTCCATCAACACTTGTTCTGGAGATACAAGGATAACCTGATTCTTTTAATGGCATGAACTATCAAATTTAATATTTTTGAAAAACGCATTTTTTTAACACATGCCTTTCTTTATTTGTACTTAAAAAAAAACATAAAAGTAGTACAATTTCGAAAATGTGAAATTTATTTGGATTTGAAAACGTTGTCTTTATCTATCATTAATTCTTTACCATTTGTGCATTGATAGAAAAATGAAATATAAGTTAATTGCATGCGGGTTTTCTATGGCCCATGCATGGGTATTACGAACATTCGTTGTACCATTACGAGTAAATATTGTTTCATCAGTGATCAGAATTTGGTTAATAAAATTTTCATGGTTCATAGTTTATTCCAAAAGCTATTCTAAAAATCGTACTCTTCGGGGATAATCAGAAGATATTATTGCACACGTTGGACGTGATAAGGATGCAACTGATTTTCACGTAATGTACTTTGCTGTGACATGACTCGATGAGCACTTTGTCGGGTACTAATTGCTGTATTTTCGCCTGTTATTTATAGAATTTCCTCCTCTAGATCTAACTACTGTTGGAGTCTTGGTCTACCGTCGTGTCCTCTACGATGTTCTTGTAATTTTCCAGTTTCTCTAGTTCGCTGCTGCATATTAATTCTCGACGCCACAGCAACATTTTAATGAAATTCTCCATAGAGTATTAACATGCCTACAAGCTCATTATTTTCAAAACGATAATGATATTTTTTGTAAACGCTAATCTTTAATTAGAAATTTTGGACAGGACCGTCTCTAAAAATTTATAAAAGGATGAAATCAATAAATATCCAAATTTTACTAACGTAATTTAAGCTAAATCGCTGTAGAGCAAGGTATAAAACTACGTGTTAAAAGGAAAGTCTCAAGTTAGAGAACACCTGATATAAAATAGAATATATGGCAACTGTTATAGCCAGGAAGTGAGAATTTTCGACACTACACCGACTACACCACAGACAAAATTGTCATAATGTAGAATAAAAAAGTGCTCATGACATAAAATAATTAAAAATTTCCCTCATATCTCTGCTCATCTATAGCATTTCCTGCGTTTATCAACTGCCTCAAACTACTCGTATTGCATTAAAATTCAATATCTTCTTGCAAGTTGCAACAGAATATAATTATGACAGTGTTGATTTAATCTTCCCTGCTTCTATTAACTTAGATAATCATTAGTTAATGTTGCTATCCAGTGTTCCATACTTTTTAAAATCTCATTCGTGTATTTATTTAATGTAAGGGAAGGTGTTGTACTATGTACTCTAAACAAACACAAGTTTAAGAGATGCAGCTAGACTGCATAATATTAGTAAATCAACTCTAGGCACGTCATCAAATTACACCGTCAGTTTGGAAATACGAAGTTTGAATATACGGCAACAAATGTTGTGAAACAAATTTTTACTGTAGATGAGGAAAGACTGCTGACAGAGTACAGAGTTTTCGGCCCGACTTAACTACGGGTTAACTATAGTCTTTGGGTCTTGGCCAATTTGCCATTTCTATTGAAACACCACTTGTTAATCGTAAATTTGGCAACGTTCATATTCAGACAATCTTCTAACTAAAAGCCGTTGTCAATCAACCGAAAGCTGTTACCAATTGCTAAATTTTTAGCAATTGTGTTTCAATAGAAATGGCAAAGACAATAAGTAAGAACTGCGTGTATTGACTTACTTACTTATTTGTCTCTTTTTTTCAGCTAATTTGTACATCCTGTGTCAATAGTGAATGGTTCTTTAATAAAGTAACAACCACTAGTTAAATTAATAATTTTAAAGTGAAATATTTCAGAATGGTCGTTTTTGGCAGTACATGTATGTTTAAATTTTATACAAAAATCGTTATTTAACTCTGTTGTTATTCATCTGATAATGAGTCAGGACAGTTTTAGGTCGTTACTATTTCGGGCAAGGTTAAGATTTCAATTTTGGACTACATATTTTTACTTCTCGAGCGTACCTAAGCAAAGGAAGTATAGTAATTCAGTCCATTGGACAAATTGCCACTTTTATGTTTTCTCGACGTTTCATGACCCCTACAGTACGAAAAAAGTAGTCTCTCGTTTCCGTCTGTCTGTCTGGTGTCTGTATCCATTTTTATTAGACACATAATCTCCGAAACTGCTGGGCCGATTGTTGTCAAATTTTCTATGTATTTTAGAAATATCATGTAGATGGTTAAATGCTAACTAAAATTTAGCTTATCATCCCCACCAACAATTTGATGACGTCATTTCAATGAATTGTGTTTTAAAATGATTTGAATGTTATATAAAAATAAACTCCTATACTTTTAGTGTGCGAATGCGCGTTCAGTTTTTTCGCTAAACATTCAAATTTTCACAAAAAACATTTACAAGCTACAATAGCGTTGTATTACCAACACAGGATACAAGGCTTCGTAGCGTATGGGATTCCTAGAGGAACGGCGACCTGCAGTCGTGGGTTCGATGCCGAACTTGGTCCCTTTCTTTTTTTTTCATGCATTGGTATTGAGCTGTGATTAGTTTGATTTTCTGCTATGACTAGTATTATCTATGTTGGTGATTTCATCACAAATTTTTTATTGGTTAAATTAAGAACGAGTTACCCCATTTTCTCGAAAATATGACACGTCTTTATTTAATAATGATAAAATAAGAATTATAATATTCAGAACAATTTGTTCGAATGTGGTTTGATTAATAATTTTAGTCCTTTGTTTGAGACTCATTCAAATCAAGCTAATTTCTATGTGACATTCTTTCGATGTATAAACATAAATAAACAGTTGAAATTCAGATTGCTATTACCTAGTATAAAGGAAATTTTATCCCGTTAGTGTTAAGTGATTTAAATATATTTTACATTGTCCGTATGGCCTAATGGCTACCTGGATGTTATTTATGCCGCTGGTTTTTACTTTACAGAGGTTATCACAAAACGAAAATCATAATATCATATTTTATATATTTTTTATTCTATTTTATAATCACAATCTTCTTTATAAGGACCCAAATGCGGGCATAAATTGGCCTTTATGGCACAAAACAGTAAACAATTGCTAAGCAACGATTGATTATTCATTTACATTAATTAATTATTCAAATAAGCTTCAATATTCAACAATTTTATTAAAGTTGCGAAAATAGTATTTCATCAAATCATCGCCTGGCTAACTTCAAATTCTTCCCAAGTTTCTTATGAATAAACGTTTTCCATTTCTTCAGTATGCATTTTGAAAATCGAATTATTTAACAAATAAACAACGTGATATCCATAACAATATCAAAATAATATGTATTAAACTTCGCATCGGCACAATTCACACAATCTTGCCAGAAATACTCAATATATCGTTAAAAATATTTTAAATATTTTCGAAAGTAAATTAGAATAAAACGTTGTATGTACCACGGGCATAATCGTCGATTGTGGCCCTCGGGAAATTAAAAGCCCTCCTTCATCGGGCTTTAAAGATTTCCTCGTGCCATAGTCTCCCTAATTATGCCCTTAATACATAAATAACTATAAAGAGCTGGATTTGTCGGATTGTACTTTACGGGCGAGAGAAGTTGTATCGAAAAAACCTTTGACCAATTTTTTTCTTTTTTTTTCTTTTTTATTTATTCTGATCAATCACACTTAATTTACAACATACCTAAAGTTCTTACGTATTTTTAGCACTAGGTAGGTATATGGGAACAAAGTAAGATAGATAATCGTATTAATGTATTCTCTCTCTTCGTTAACTATCAATACAAATACCTATTATATAACTGATTCTTCAAATTACCTAAATAAGTATTAAATTTTGAAAATGCAGAGTTATGGTTTGAAGGTTTCTGTTGTCAATCAAAACAGCAATGTGTTACACGTGGGTCGTAGGTTAGATTTTCTGTAATTTTTACTTAAAAAGGAAATATTTGTGTAGCTGAAGAATCAAATATCTATAATTTTTAAAATTTGATCTCTAGCTTCGCATTACTTACTTTATCTCGTTGTCTTATTCGAAAAGAAAGTTATAACTAATAAGTAAATCTTTTTGAACATTTGAATTATGTCCATCGGTGGACAAATCTGCCTTTCATTTTATCGGAACTAAACGCCTTTTTACTTCCCGAGCGTAAGCAAAGGAAGTATTGTAATCGAGTCCGTCGGCCGACTCTCTACTTTTACGTTTTCTCGATCTTTCATGACCCCTAGAAGACGAAGAAATAGGTCTCCCATTTCCGTCTGTCTGTCCGTCTGTCCGTCTGTCCGTCTGTCCGTCCGTCTGTCCGTCCGTCTGTCCGT